CCCAGCGAGCTGGCCGGAGGAGTCGCCATGCGCCCCGGGCCGCCGTGCGCCTGGCCGCCCAGCGCCCGCGCCGCTCTCCGCCTGTGGCTGGGTTGCATCTGCTTTGCGCTGGTGCAGGCGGGTAAGGGGGCCGGGGCCAGGGGCTGCGGGCGGGCCGGTGCAGGGGGCTGTGGGCGGACTGGATACCAGCGAAGGCTCCTCTCCCACTCTGCCATCTACAGAGTCTGCAGTTCCTTTCCTCACTCCCAGGGGACCCTGTGACCTGACCTACTCATTGTTTCCTAACCCAACCCTCAGCCCTCTTCCTCACCTTCTTGACCCCACATCCATTTTTCAAGCTCCAAGACCCTTCCCACAAGCCCTGCGTTTGCTTGGCGTCTGTGGTCTCTAAATCCCTAATCCCTCTTGACCAGAAGCTTTCGCCTGAGGTCTATTAGCTCCCTTCTCTGGCCCAGGGGGCACCTGAGGACGTTTCCCCCTGCTCGCCACTGCTCACCTTAGGCCTTCCTCCCCTGTCCCCAAAGACCTCTCAGGTCTCTGGAGGCCAGATCAGCAGGACAGAGCCGAACAGGCAGGGGTCACTTGTGCATGAACCTATGTGAGGGGGCTGGGACTCGTCCCCCTGAGCGGGAACTGGGTGGGTGTTGCTCAGTCTCTGAGCCTGGTGCAGTGTCTGGCTGCCCCCATGGGTCTGGCGCCATCCCTACCCAGCCTCTCCCTGCGCCCCATCTGTGTCCTCCTGGCTGCTGCCTGCTCACCGCTCCCTGTACCCATCACTCTCTGCCTCAGTGCTCGCTCTCTGCTGTCTTCTGTCTCTGACACTTCACCCGTCTCTTCTGTGGTTTGTTGTCTGCCTCCACCTGTCTGTGTCCCTCTGTCTTTGTCATTTCCATGTCTGGCTCTGCCTTCTCCAGGCCAGAGGGCCTCTGGTCCACTCACCCATGGAATAAGGGGCACAGTTCAGGCCCAGCCCCTCCCATTGCAGCACCTACCTCATGGAGGATGCAGAGGCTTGTGTGACTCCTCCAAGCAAGCCCCCTGCCCCTCTCCTAGAGGGCTTCGTCTTCCTGACCTCTACCTTCCCCATCACTCTCCTGCTAACCCCTCTCACCACTGACCCCTCTTCAACCTCTTTCTCCATCTAAAAGGCCCTGCCCTATCCCGTTGATTCCATTGAGAGGCTCTGCTGTGAGTGACCTCTGTCTTCTCCTGGCTTCTCCACCTCTGGGGGCTGGTGGGATCTGGTGCAGAGCACACACAGACCCTTCCCCAAGCTTCATTCTTCTCTGCCTGGATCACCACATGCCTGAGAGAGGCTCCTCTGTTACTCTTCACTTCCATGATGGCATGTACCCCAGGCTGGCTCTTCTTCACCCCCAGGTCTTTCTCCTTCCCTCAAGGTCACTCACTTGAGAGTGTAGTTTTGTAGAACACTGGTCTCATCAAACTCCCCGTTAGCTCCTTCACCCCGATCACCTGTGCCTTTTCTATACCTGTCCTTCCTCTTGTTTCTGTTCCTCCATTAACTCCATCAGTTTTAGCCCAAGACTCCTGGTGGGGCCCATTTTTGGCCAGCTGGGGCTTCCACTGAGGCACAGCAGCCTAGGTACTCAGGCTTGACTCTTCAAGCTCTGAGGATCTAAGATTCACGTCCCTGAGCCGTGTGAGCCCTTGGTTTCTCCACTCCCCAAGCCCCCATGGCCATCTCAGGTGGGATTTTCTTCTTTCCACTTACCTCATGAGGTAATGGGCCTGAGCCTTGCAACAGAGGTTGCTCAGGCTCAGGTGCCCCTCCACCTCCCAGAAAGCCCCTCGGCCCCCGTGAATGTCACTGTCAGGCATCTCAAGGCCAACTCAGCAGTGGTGAGCTGGGATGTCTTAGAAGATGAAGTTGTCATCGGATTTGCCATCTCTCAGCAGGTAACCATCCAGGGGCCCTGGCAAGAAAGAAATAGAAAGGAACGAGGAGCAAGAGAGATGGGAACTTATACGTATGGCTTGAAATTGGGACTCCAGAAATGAAACAGTGAGGGAGGGTTTAGGCATGTTCAGTCAGAACATAGGAATCAAGAGCAGAAGTTTTGATCCCAGACAGACTTACGTTTGGGACTTAGTTCCAGTTTCCATTCATGTGTTGTGTCTTGGGCAGTTTCCTTAACCTTCAGAGTTTCTGTATTTGTCAATGGAAATGAGATGACAGGATGGGTAGTATTTTGTATGTAAAGGAGTTAGCATGGTAGGGTAAGCCTGCTAGGACTACTGGAAGGTGGGCAAAGGGGGAGGTGGTGAGGCACAAACAACTATGGGCTTGTTTTTCTGTTTTGTTGTTTTGTTTATTGGTTTTTTAATCATTTGCAGAAGAAAGATGTGCGGATGCTGCGCTTTATCCAGGAGGTAAACACCACCACGCGCTCCTGTGCCCTCTGGGACCTGGAGGAGGACACTGAGTACATTGTGCATGTGCAAGCCATTTCCATCCAGGGCCAGAGTCCAGCTAGCGAGCCGGTGCTCTTCAAGACCCCACGTGAGGCTGAGAAGATGGCCTCTAAGAACAAAGGCAGGTCCTAGCACCGAGAGGAAGGGAGAGGGCTGGGTAAGCGTAGTCAGGACTGGACTAGTGGTGGCCTGAGGAAAGCACTAGAAACTACGCCATCTTCTACTAGTCAAATAAAGCAATACCTGAAGGGGAAGGTTCACACTAGTTCCCCTGGGAGAGTGGACATATAAATGTACTTTCAGAGTATATAAATGATAGCCACTCCATCAAGACATTTCTTGGATCCCTTGGACATCAGATGTGTGAGCATCTATGAAAGTAATCCCTTACTGTCTTACAAGTGCTTGGGCTTGGCCTTAGAGAAGTGGCTGGAAGAGGGAAGGAGCCTTGGACCTAGTGTCTCTGTCCCTACAGACGAGGTGACCATGAAGGAGATGGGGAGGAACCAGCAGTTACGGACAGGCGAGGTGCTCATCATCGTGGTAGTCCTGTTCATGTGGGCAGGTGAGTCAGGACCTCCAGACCCTTCTTATTCACTTCAGCTCATCTCATTGCCATGGACTCAGAATTAACTTATAGCCAACCTTCCAGTAGGTTTTCTGAGGTTGTAAATTGCATGAGAGGAGACTGTCCACCTTTCTTGCCTCGGGAGCTGCTGGTGGATTCGATCTTCCAGAGCAGTGTCACTGTTGGCTTAGCAGGGCAGCTCGCTATGGACTATGCCACCAGAGCTTCCTTATTCACTTACCTTTTGGGAAATGGAGGGCCCAAACCAGTCCCCTTCTTTCCCCTAAACTAAGGGTCAGGTGCTTAGAGATCTCTGAGGGAACAGAAGTCCTGTTCTGGGGCAACTATGAAGATTAGGTTTGCTCCCTTCTCTCACCTGCTGTATACCAAAAGAGGAAAAAAAACAAGTAGCACATTGACAGCTGAAGGATTATGTGTTTGTCCTTTGCCTCCCTCAGCAGTGGCCCCAGCTCCTCATGGAGGAGATACGTTCAACTCTTTATCTTCTGGCCAAGGCTGCAGCCTCTCCTTTCTCTTTTGGGTTGCTCTGACTTCAGGCCTGGACAGCTCAGGGAAGTCATAGCCTGACCTCAGGCTTGGGACACCCTCAGAACCATGCAGCTCTAATGAGTCAGGTTCCATGTAGACTCTCCAGATCCTTCCATTAGAATACCCCTCTTCCTTCCTGCTCCATGAGTCCTGCCAGCCCTTCTCTTTATCATGTTGTGTAAGCTAGCTGGACCAGTAGTTCTTTTTCTCCATTGGTCTGTGAGCTCTCTGAGGATAAAGAACAAGTTTCACTCATCTTTATACTCATCCTGTACTTACCACGCACCTGTTCCACTCCACATGCTGGGACTACAGTCATGACTAAGACAAAATCTTTAGTTGCAGGAACTCAGTCTGGAGGAAGCCAGACCTATACTTAAGTGTGCTTCAGTGAGATAAGTAGAGTTAAGTATGAGATACAAAGAAAAGTGGTTAATTCTGGGACTAGGAGTAGCAATCAGGAAAGACACAGAAAGTATGTAGGGCTTTGCAGGATGAATAGGAGTTCACCAGACACCTGAAAGAGGAACAACATTCTAGGCATGGTGTGTTCTAGAAACAAACTAAGCTCAGTCTTGATTCAGAGTTGCTGCCACCTAAGAAAGTGATAAAGAGTGGAAAGTAGGGAGATAGGCTGTAAAGTAGCCTGGATATTAAAAAAAAATCCCATTTTATTATTTGAGTCAATGTTTTACAGAGAAAATTTCCCAGTTAATGATTTACACATACTTTGTTTTGTGACATTAGTTGTAATACCCTCTGTGAATAGCACTCTTTTCTCCCTATGTCTCATTTCATTTGTCCATCTTTTCTGCCCCTTCCTGCTTTCTGCACTTTGTTTTGGGGGAAATGCTGACATTTTGGTTTCCTATAGCTTATCGCTGTGAGGAGCACTTTCCTCAATGGTATTACTGTGGCCTAGTGGATAAGGAGTTACACTGCCAACCAAAAGGCAGGCGGTTTGAATTTACCAGCTACTCTGGGACAAACATGGGCATCCTACTCCCGTGTAATTTTTTAAAAAAATTATTATTAATTACTCCTGTGTAATTTACAGCCTCTAAAAACCTGCTGCAGAGTCAGCTCTGAGTCATTTCTAGCACTGAGTTGCTTTGTTGTTGCGAGTCTATTGTTTGACTGAAATGTTATCTCTGTGAATGGGTTCACTTGTAGGTCTGAAGGTGTCTAAGAGTCATTGTCTTATCCCAGAGGTGTGCAGTTCGAATCCACCAGATGCTCTGCTGGAGAAGTAGGGACAATCTCCTCCTGTACCAGTCAGATCTGATTTGATGGTACACACACACACACACACACACACACACACACACACACCATCATCATCATCATCATAATAAATTTTTTAAAAAAAAAGAGTCATTGTCTTGGGAGTTCCACCTGTCTTTGTCAGACCACTAAGTCTGGGCTTTGTGATTTTTAATTTTGTTTTACTTTGTCTCTCCCTGTGTCTAGTCCTTTCTACAGTGATGCATATCAGACAGAGAGCTTCACAGTGACAAGCTAGGCACCATCTAGTTCTGATCTCAGGCTGATGGAGGCTGCAGTTCTGTGATCTGTTAGTCCTTTGAACTAGTTAATTCCTTAAGTCTTTGATTTTTAACTTGTCTGTGCTCCAGATGGGAAGAGACCAATAGTTTGTCCTAGATGGCCACTTAAAAGCTTTTAAGACTACAGTGGCTACTTATTAAAGCAGAATGTAAAACATTGCCATTATGATCTACAGTATTAGGCCAGTTGACTCTGATGTCCCTTGAGACTGGGTCGCAAGTTGACTGGGATTAGTTCTGAGGGACTTGAAAACCATGCTCAAAAGCTTTGTGAGTATGGTGATTGAGAGGCCAGGCTCTAATGTAGAATTGTTTTCGAGCAAAATATTCCTTTAGGCACATAGAAAAACAAGCACTTGAGGAAGGCAGGAAAAACAGAGTTGTATAAGAGAGGAAGTTTGCTTATGGTGCTTTATTAGATTTGGCAAGATAGTATTCATATAATCATAACAGTATAAACATAGGGAATTAACTGCAAATTGTGATCCTACACTGTTAGGGTAATGGGAAAGGGAAGTAGGGGGAGCCGTTAGGAGAATTTATCTGCCATGATAGGAAGTCAATAGAGAAATCAAGGAACTGCAATACAAGTACCTAAAGTATAAAGGTATTTTTTTTAAATGGGGGGGCGGAATGGGGGAAATAAAAAGAGTTGGGGTTATCTGCCTTAATACTATCTACCTTTCCTGGGATGATAATAGGAACTCTCCTGGAGTTGTTATGGGATTGAGAGTATATTGGGGCACAGCACAGGGCCTGGCATATGGTCAGCAAATATTGTTGTTGCTTTTGTTTTCCCCTACAGGAACAGGGAGCTGTCAGAGGCTTAGTAAAAGGGAATGGGGGTGACATGCTCAGATGTGTGTTGTGGGGAGGTCAGCTCAGTAGCAGCAAAGGGGTGGCCGGTGAGGGAACAAGTGGGAATCAGAGCCAGAGTGCAGAGAAACATTGTCACAGTGCAGGTAAGAAAGCGTAGCAGGAGCACGGCAGATTCCGACAGGAATGATACTGACTGCACGGGGACTCTGCCCTCTGACCATACCTCCTTAATGCCTTTCAGGTGTCATTGCCCTCTTCTGCCGCCAGTATGACATTATCAAGGACAATGAGCCCAATAATAACAAGGAAAAAACCAAGAGTGCATCAGAAAATAGCACGCCGGAACACCAGGGTGGGGGTCTTCTCCGCAGCAAGGTGAGGGCAGCCAGGGTGGGCAGCCCTGTGGTTCGTGCACTGGTCGTCCCTGGACTATGGAAGGGGCTATGGCAAAGCTCTAGCGAGAAGGGGTCAGTTTAGAGCTTGGCATGGCCATAGCCAAACAGAGCCAAGCTTGGCTTCTGCTTGTGTGACTGCAAATTGATTTTGGAAGCTTTCTTTTGCAGGGTGTCAGGTGGGGAGGGCAGACTCTTGGCTGGTGTGGGAAGTGGGGCTCATTTCTGTTCTTGCTGTGCTGTATGCCTTGAGAAGGCACTTTACCTGTCTGTGCTTTCCTTTCTTCTATAAAACAGATATGAGAACCTTTTCAGTACTTGCTCTGAGTGGCTCAGAAGACAGACAGTAGAGAATGTGAGAGGATCTCATGGTTCTGAGGATGATTATTCAACAAGCACTGGCCTTCTCCACGTCTCCTCACTCCATCTCCTTGTACCTTCTGGGTTATTGTCCTCTCTTGTCTCTTTCTGGCACAACTTCCTGATGTTTCTGATATCAGCCCCCATCTCCAGAAGCACCTCAACGATGTCAGTGGCTGAGGATGTTCTCAGAGGCAGATCTACAAGATGGAGAACCAGCCAGAGGGGTAGTTTTGCTGGTACTGACTGGGCTGTGGCCCAGGAGCCAGCATTGGCCGTTGGGCTGAATGAGGCTGCTGGCTGGGATTTAGAAGGCAGAGAGATGACATCCAGGCAGGGCTGCTCTTTATTCCACAAGGGACAAAAGTTTTGCCTTTAGGCTGCATTTCCGCTTCTCTCTTCCTTCTGTCCTCTACCTGTGCAAGAAGTCTATTCAATTAGCCCTGGCTCCTATCTCTCTTTTTTTTTTCCCCTCTCCTAGTTTCCAAACAAGTCCTCAGTGAACATCATCCAAGCGTGACTGCCTGTCTGCAGTGAGGAGGATTTCATTTTTCTTCTCTGCTGGTCTTCAGGTCCATGGCACAGGGAAAGGGAGGACTGTGGTACAAGGAGGAGGACACAGTTCTCTTTCTCCGGCCACATCTTACTAAGGAGTCTGAACTAAAAACCCAAATTCTGCAAAAAATAAACAAGCCACAAACTAAAAGCCCTGGCCCCATTCTAGAAAAGGCAAAGCTGCACGAGAAACAGCCTTCTGCTGACTCGCCGCTCCTGGCCTGGCTTCCTCTTAGAGAAAATGCACAATGCTCCTGGAAGATGACAATTCAAGTTGTGTCTTTCAGGTCAACGAACATCAGGGAAGTGGGAAGGCTGCCTGCCTTGTAGGGTCAGGGTGCCATCAGGCCTTTTTTTGGATCCAGCCATCAAGGATTGTGGTATGATGCACAACTGTGAACATACTATGTTCTCTCTTTTGGAAAACACAGTCAGAAGGCCCCCTAAAGGACAGAGGGGTTCACACAAAGACTGAGCTGCAGTCTTGTATCCTGTCTTCTTTGGCCTTTACTTTGTAAGGTCATCAGGCTGGGATCTTAAGAAGTCGCAATCTTTAGGAATCAAGGTCTGAGTTCCAGTAATATTAGCTTAGATAACTGAAAAGGGATATCCACATCCAGCATCCTGGGAGCTACTAAAGCGTCCACTCTGGAGGGGAAGCTGCTGGAAGGCAAGCCTGAGTCACTCACCCACCATGTACAGGCAGAGCAGCCCTGGCTACCATCTTGGCCTCTGGGGCCCTCATATCTTGCCATCTCATTCAGGGTTCTGTGAAGGCTACCCACGGCCTCATGTCCTTCCTTAGAGCCTGAGTAGTGCACGACAACAGGTCTCTCTCTCTCTCCACTGCCCCTTTCTGGTTTAAAAAAAATGGTGCTTGAGAAAGGAAAGTGGACTTTGTCATATGACTGATGCTATGGCCGCTGCATGCCTAATATGGAAAGAGATGGACTCTGCATCTTCCCTTAGTGGACAAAGCTGGGAGACAAAGAGTGGAAGGACTGCGCCTAGCACAAGCCTAGCACACAGTAGGCGCTCATTAAGTTTGCTGAAATGAATAAAAGCAATGGCTCCCAAGCTGAAAGAGAGCTGAAAGCCATCACTGATGACCGCCCTTTCTTCCGGTCTTTAAGAGCTCTCTCTGCTTGGTCAGCCACCTCTGCTCTGCCAGTGTGGTAGCACAAGGAGAGAGGAGAGACGGCGTATATGGCAAATGTCAGCAATATTAAGGGCTTCCTCATGGGAGGGCATGAGGCTCCACTCCATCGTCTTGTGACTTCCATCCCTGCTGAACGGAGCTGTGAGGCCAAGGCTCCTTAGGGGAGAGGTCCTTACCTCTGATCCAGTTAAGAGCAATAACCACTTTTTAAATGTAAAATAAAGTAACAAATGAAAAAGCACATCCTTGTCTTCTGGTAAATGCCCAAATGTTGCCCTCTTTTTCTGGCAATTGGCAGCTAGTCAGGATGTGTGGAGGAGGGAGTCAGTTCTCTCTTCATTTTGGCCTGCAGCTTCTTAGGGACATGTCTGCCAGCCAAGCTGGAGTTGGAAGGGAAATCTCTAGCAGATGGGGGGTGCACGTGTAGGTGGAGAAAATAGCAGTTCTATCATCCTCTTACTGAGGTCCCCCATCCCCAAACCAAGCTCTGCTGCCTCCCTGCATAGGTATGCAAGCTGGTGCTCAGTTTCTACAATACAGGGTTTTCCCCTCTGGATAGGATTGGGTGCTTTCCCTGCCTGAGGGAATGCAGTTCTTTTTTCCCTCCAGGGAAGCAAAGAGAACTGCAGAAGCTGCTGCTTTCTGCAGCTCGGTATTCACAGCATGTGGTTCTGGGCTGTTAAAGGAGCATCATTATGATCCAACCAGCAGGCTGAAAGGTAGAGAGTGACGGTGCCATTAACCAATGAACAAACTGGTAAATGGGGCACCTTGAATATTGCTGTCCACAGCCAGGAAGAGGATAGAGAAAAACACTCCAGATGAGGGTGTAGGGTATGCTGTCCTGGAAGGGTCTGGATGTTGAGGGAAAGCTGATTAGCACATACACTAAGCCAAACCGTAGCAGGCTATTCTCTGCTGACTGAGAAGCCCTCCAGCTAGCATCAAATAAAAGAGCTGTCAGTGGGTTTCAGGTAGCCCTGCTAATGGAGGTTTCCTGTTTGGTTTTTTTTTTATTAATTTTAATGAACATTTACAGATATTTTGGATTTCTATTCATTCATTGTTGCATTTTTCTCCCTGCCCACCCCTCCCCCGCAGTTCACTCTTCTCTTTAAAAAAAAGAAAAAAATTCCTTCATTGGTATACAGCCCCCTCCCCTCTCCCCTCACAGTACACTCCTCTGTGCAGTGTTCATTCTGGACTCTTGTCATAACCATAATACCCAATCATAGTGCTTTTAAACTGTTCTCTCCCTTATCTGTTTCAATGCAATATGCATAATTTATCCAATTTTTCTCAGTCTCACCCCCGAAACTGAACCTTTATTCACTGTTGGTGGGAGTATAAAATGGTGCAACCACTATGAAAGGCTGTATGGGGCTTTCTCAAAAGTTGCAAATAGAAATACCATTTGACCCAGCCATTCCTCTACTAATATACCCTAAAGAAACCTTAACTGCCACCCCAGATATATGCACACCCATGTTGATCACGGCTTTGTTCACAATAGCAAAGAGTTGGAAACCACCTAAGTGCCCATCAACAGACAAATGGAGAGAGCAGCTGTGGTATATTCACACAATGGAATACTACGCTGCATTGAAAAACAAGGAGCTCATGCAATATTATTCAAAATGGGTGATGTTTTCATCTTTTGACTGTGCCTCAAGTTGTAATACATTATAAAGGGTATGAGAATGGAGAAACCTCTCACAAATTGGAAAGGGTATAGGCAAGTTTTTTGAGACCAGAAGACTTGACTTCTTGACTCAGCAGGTCTGAGGGGAAAATGCTGGATTTAGGAGACAAGCCCTAAAATCAACTAACACTTTGGACAAGTTCCTTCTCTAAAACGTGATTTTTTGCAAAAACTCCCCAAAATTAGAAGATTCCCAGGTCCTACCAACTTCGTAGAGTAGGAGTCTGGTGACTTCCTCACTGGAACAAGAAGGAAACTCCAGGGTTTGAGTGGAGGACGAGATTGGTGTTCTGTGGCATAGGAACCATTTCATTTTCCTACTTCTATCCCCTCACTGCCTAGTTCAGGTCTCCTCAAATTCAACCCTTTATAGGAATATGTAACATTTTACTCTAATTGCTTGGTGTTTCAGACTTTCTTTTCACCCACTTTCAATCTATCTGATGTTTTAGCTCTGGTGGCATTGTAAGGAGTTGTGATGCTACCCTCTCTACAGGTTTTAATGCACCCACCATCAGTGGGATAAAGAGAGGCAATCTTATAAAATTTACAGCCCCCAAAAACCTAATGGAAGATCAGTTGAGTCAATTCTGACTCAAGGGCAATGGGTATGAAGTTTAGAAGTAGTAGTTTTATGCTGTTGAGTCAGTACTGATCCACCAGTGGGTTTTCAGAGGCAGTAAACTTGCATGGAAGGGAGATTGCTGGTCCTTCTGTAGAACAGCTAGTGGATCTAAACCATGTGCCTTTGTCATTGCAGCCACTAGGCAACCAGAGCTCCCTTTGTAAGTAGTAGCTTCCAATCTACGGAGTATCTAGTAAGTAAAGGTCAGAGATACTGTTAATTCTACAATATACAAAACAGCAACTCATACTACAACAAAGAACTATTTGGCTTCAAATGTCAGAGTACTCAGGGTGAGACGTTCTGTGGCATAGGAACAATGTCTAGACAGGAACTTAGTAAAAAACATCAAGGAAGATATTAAAGTACTGCTCCAAGCTCATTGTATGTGCCATCAAGTTACCTGACTCAGAGCAAACCTAAGTGTAATAGCACTGAAGCCTGCCCTATCCTAGCCAGTCTCACTGACTCTGACACATCTACCTCCATTACCCATTACTGTGTCAATCCATCTCATCTGGGGTCTTCCTCTCTTGCGCTGTCCCTCACCCCTTCCAAGCATGATGTCCAAGGACTGGTTCCTTCCGGTCACAGGCCCAAAGTATGTGACCCAGAACTTCAAAATCCTAGCTTTCAAGGAGAAACTTGGTTTCACCCACTCCAACACAGACCTGTTTATTCTCTTGATGGTCCATGGTATGTTCAATACTGTTTTCCAGCACCACAAATCAAGGACATCAATTCTTCTACTGTCACCCTTGGTCATTTCCAGCTGAGGCACAGCAAGTAACTGCGAAGACCATGGCTTGGATCGGGCGCACCTTAGTTGCTAGCCTGATGCTGTTGTTCTTCAACACTCTGGAGAAATCCCTGACAGCAATTTTCCCAGTGCAAATCATCTTTTGATTTCCTTACTGCTGGTGCTAAGAGTGTTGATGTGGAGCCGAACAAGCTGAAATTCTTAGCAATGTCAGTCTCTTCTCCACCTATCTTGATGCTACCAATTGGCTCAGTGGTAAGAATCTTTGTCTTCCTGATGTTGAGCTTCATATCAAATACTACCTTCTGCAGCAAGTTTTTAGGTCCTCCTGTTTCAGTAAGCAAGGTTGCATCATCTGCATATCGTAGGTTGTGAATGAGTCTTCCTCCAGTCCTGGTATCACATTCCTCCTAATAAAGCCCACCTTCCTGAATGATCAACAAAGCTCAGGAAGGTATTATACTCCTGTTCTCTCACCTTAAGTCACAGGACCAGGGCTTCAGTAGAATGATTGGTGGCTAAGACTTTCTTGTACTGAATAAAGACCTACCACCACCTTTTTTAACCTACAACTGGTTTGTATCTCATCTTCAAACACTTTCTGGAGAAGAATGTAGCAATATACTTAACCAGAGGGTACAGGATCCCACTTGTAGATTTATCTTTTTTTGACACAAGAGACACAAGTAGATAAATGCTATATTCATTTTTTAATGTTTCATTTAGGAACAAATTACATAAATAGGAAACATTAAAATGCTGCTTAAGGCTAAACTAAAAGTGGTCATATGATTAATCCCCTCCCCCCCATTAAGATACATTTAAAGACTATCATTTAGACTTTTCAAGGTTTTTCAGAAGATTGCATTCCACTTCCTTCTCCATAGGTGCTTGGAAGTTATTCTATAGTATGATATTTTATAGTATACTCCAGTTGTCATGGGGTGAACAGGTGGGGAGGCTTGATCAACCAGGAGCTGATTCATTAAGGAATCTTGCCACTGACCAGCTGATACTTCCTGTGACAAGTGGACATTTTCCCCCGACAGGTGCTCTGGCATACAAAGCAAGCAAACCCTAGAATTAGCTTAGGGATCATTCTGTTTTGTGCCAGAAAATCAGGACACTTAGAAAAGCAGGGAGCTCTGCTTTCTAGTTTGGATAGTTGTTTTTTTCCCTCTCCTAAAAACCTGGATCACTTTAGAGAATTAGCCCATTCTTCTTAGAGAAGGTTCATTTATCATTTCCCTTCTCATCTTTTTATAACAGGTAAAAAAAAAATCCTGAAGGTAAAGAACACTACCACGTCAGAGGGTGGATCTTCGTCTCCAAAACCACTCAGGCAATAACAATGGTAACAGATGGCTATAAAGGAAACAAGTAATTACTGGACAAAGGATCACCAGCACCTGACAGGAACAAAATAGACATGTATAGGTCAAGAGTATAGGAGACTTAGAAAATATCAAATAGCTGTGTAATGAGCAAGTTTAAACTAAGCCTTTTGTCCAGACTGCAGAACATATATCCTAAATAAAAATTACAGGATGGAGATCCTATCCAAACATTTTGCTACTTCTTCTCAATTGAGCAGAGATTTTAAAGCTTCTACGAGTAAGTCTAAGAAGCTTAAGTTCACATAAGGCATCCTGTGCCTCTCACAGCTTATCTTTTTTACCCTGAGCCATTCCTTCATCCTTGGTTCTAGTTTTTGGAGAAATTGGGTAAAAATAGCCAAGTGCTTACTATTAATTTTGGTTTTTCACATGTTTTTCAAAGGAATAAGGCCCCAAGATGGCTCAGCTTCTTCAGTGCTAACTCTGGAGAGGGAGAAACTGGAGGTCAACTCTTCATCAGGCAGCTATCGGAAGGAATTCAGTGCCTGCCCGATCTGGTTCAAGCCACCTGCCCCCACTAGTAAAAACAGCAGCACAGTGATATTTCAGGCTCTCCTTGTGTCAGGCTTCTGACATGCACCGTATGTAGCTGAAAATCCCAATCAATTTCAACATTTCTTAACTGCTGGAACGCCTTTCTCAACACTGTAATTTACCCTCAAAAGAACAGGGAGCAAGCACCCTCCCCTCTCCAGTACGACGTTCTACTAACTGCCGCCCCCCTCTCATACCCAACTAACCTACCTACGCAAAGGAGGAAGGGAGATCTTGCTTTCAAAGCCCGAAACAGACGGTCACAGTACATATGTCACTGACAAGAACTTTTATTTCATTTTAATGACATTAAACACAACTGCGAAATGGAAGAAAAACATGATAAAAAGGAGGCACAAAACTTCAGTTTCATAACTGATCCTGACAACAACTCAAGTAAATCAGGGCCTGTGTTAGATGCAAAACTACAGGTTATTTGAGGCTCCTTACTGAAAAGTAAGCAATGTAAACACATTTTTACTTGGCTTTGTCAAGACCCCTGGGGTGAGAGTGTCATCACAGATGAAGAAAGCTAGGCAGTTAAATGAATGATCTTTATTTAAAACAAAAAGCCAGCAAGAATTACACTTGGATACTAGTTGTCAAGGTCAACACTAAACATAAGAGAAATGCAGCCTTGTAAAGAGACAGAAATTCCATATTTCCCCTACTTCACCTTTAATGTGAACATGCCAATTAATGAATTTTCTTTGGCTTTGTTTTTTCTTCTTAAAGAATATCATGTTAATCGCTAGAGAACAGTTCTCTCCTCCTCCAGTCCAACAGATTTAATTAAGCTGCTAAAGCTTTGGAAAAACAGAATTATTTGAGCGGAGAGGAAATGTGATTGTCACATTGTCTAGTTAACCTGTCATTCATTTGATTTGGCAAAGGCAATGCTCCCATTATACATTCGTTCTTAAAAACCATCCTGTACCAGGAGGCCAGGAATGTGAGCCTTAGATGTTTACTTAAGACAAATTGCTGTCCCTTCATTTCTTATATGAGGGGATCTCCTCAAATGAAGAAACAAGGCAACTAGACAGCTGCAATGCTAGTTTTTCCTGTTCTGTTTCATTTTAAATATGCTGTGACTCCAAAGGTAGAGGTTTGGAATGTCTCACTCCTTCAAGCTAATTTAGGGCAGAATGATGCCAACTGAAATAGAAGATTTTGACTCCTGCCCCTGAATGAAATACTTCCTTTGCATATTAGTCCTAGAATGCAAATCAAATGTCCACAGAAAAAGAGACTCTTCAATTGGATAAAAACTGTAAACATTTTATGGGGACATTCACTCAAATTTTACTGATGGAATAAATGACCAAGCTCTACCCAAGTATGGTAGGCATTTAAGATGAGCAGTTAGTCTCAAAGATAGATCTGGTAAAACAACAAAACCAGACAGAGGTAGCTAACTCATTATCAGAAAGTATGCCATAGCAACTATATATACAACCATCACAGAGTCAACAACACAAAGGCCATAGAGCAAAACTCCAAATGAAGACTAGCGCCATCTGTACTAGAGAATAGTAAGCTCTAAGACATTCATTAAGATGGCTACACAGACTGCCAACTTTGGTTAGAATATAAAACTTTTAAGATTAGGTCATGCTTTTATGTAGAAACTTCATCAAAACTTTATCAGACCCACATTCACAGTTATATGAAATTACATCAAGAACTGACCAAATAAGGAAGTGATAATGTCTAGGATCTCAAGGCACCTTTTGTTAACTAAAAATAAAGACTAAAGAGTGTTTCTCCAACTTCTCTAACATACTTGAAGCTATGGTTCAGCAAAGCAAACTGAAGATCAAACTGACAGCTCACTGGCACCAACTTCCTAGTCTTTCCAAGAGTCAAGGCTCAAGGGCAGCTCTTCTATATAAAGAGCAGGGAGGCTGGCTGTTCTGAAAAGGCTTCTGTCTAATAGAATAGATATAATAATAATTATAAGAAAAAATACTCCCTTTAAGAAATGCAGAAGAGACAATGTAAATCACAAGACCACAAAGTATTCAACAAGGGTGAGTTACTAGTTTCCTGTTGTTAGAATTATAAAAACGTGTGCAAAATAAGTTTAATGAAGGATGAAAATGTCACAAAATAAAGGCAGCTACTAGGTACTTAAAAGAATAGTAAAGGATTTACAAATTTAATGTGCTCTTTCAACGGCTTTATGTCCCAATCCAGGCTACTTCAAATGGCCTGGAACGCCAAATTTGAAATACTGACAGGGATTGAGAGATTCAAATGAAAAGTGAGACGGCCTGTTCTAAGTGACTTGTAAGCTCACGAATCATCAGTAAAATTAACACTGGCCTGTGGTCTACTAAGGAATTTCTTCCTTTCAGGAGACTGAATTTCTTTTGGTCACCAAAGTAGATTTGAACTCTGCACAGCTGTGAGTGTTTTACTTGAGCCTAAATTTTGGCTTCATGCTGGCTGGCAAGAGGCAGTAATTTTCAATTTCAGTAAAAAAAACAACCCAAAAACCTTTACCAACTTAACACTGCTTAAAAAAAACATAAAAACAGGAAGGAATGCATTAAAAAGAAAAAAAATTTCAAGTCAGCAATCATATTCAAAAGGTATAAAGTTCTTTAAATAAAAATTTTGTGTAAAATATAATTCAAAATCTGCAAAGCATAAAATAGCAAAATGAAATGAGATACTGCTCTGGAAAGACCCTGGGTAGGGACTTTCACTGCTAATGGGATGAGACCAACAGGGTAAACTAGGGTGTAGGGTTAACGTGGGAGATGCTGGAACCGATGGTGACTTCCCATGTTTCTGTCAACCCACTGAGTCAGACTGTATCTTGGCCGCAGAGATGTATGTCGGAACCGTGCGTAGTTCCTATCAGGAGAGAGGGAGAATAAAAACAGCAAAGTTCAGGGTTTTGGGTGGAATAGTTGCCTGCACATAGAAAAGGCCAACAGAGCTATTTTAAGAATATATTTTTGTGGAGGGCATTATACTGAGTGAACTAACTCATATGGATTACTAGTCTCATATGGATAAATAATACATTAGACTATTATTGTAAAAACAGAGGATAACTAGTAAAATGTGTATGGTATCTAAGGAAGGAAGGGGTGGGAGCAGAGGGGTGAGCAAAGGCAGGGAGAAAATCATAAGGTCACATAATTTGGTAGGTAGAGATGGGGCAGTAAAGGAAATGAGAAATACCCAGTGGGGATCTGGAAAGACAGGGTAATAGTAAGCATAGTTCAATGGTGATTAATTTTATAAAACATAATGAATGGGAGGAAAAAAAGAAACAAAATAATAATGAATGGGAATGATTGTATGAAACACAATGTGAATGAAGGATAGTATGAAATACAATATACACAAACTTTGTATGCAAACCAATATAAAACTTAAAAAAAAAATCTATGCCTGAAAATCTAGTATTAAATTTTGTATTTCAATTCTCATCATCTTAGAAATTTTATACCACTTTATTTATGTGAAAGCCACATTTAAATTGCTATTTCCTTTCAACTCCCAAAGCTACCAAATTCCCATGTAGTGATAAAGGCCCTAAACACAAATATAAAGTAAAATGTGTAATTATAATGTATAATAATGTTTTGTAATCCCTTCTGCCAAAATATGTAAAGCAGAATCTATATTTATTATATTAGGCCTGCACCTTCAAAAGGATTTAATTGTCTGACATAGCTCAAGGTTGCTTAGGACACACCAGTTAAAATTAGAGTAAAATTCCCAGAGAAGGTAAGTCATCATGTGAGCATCACATTGCAAGTTTAGACACTGAACAATTAATAGCACAAGCTCAAAGAAGTTTCCTGAGAATATCCTTCAGTCCTATGTTAGGCTGGAGTTCTAAATAGGAACCTCTGAGATATTCTAATCTCATTCTTATTTCTAGTTGTTTCTGGGAACCTAGAACAGTAACTGTTTTGTTTCTAGTCCTACCTGTAAATACCTGCTTTGCATACATCGTCTCATTTAATGCTAGGGATAATTCTATGGGAAAATACTGTCGTTAACTTCTGGAAGTAAAGAACCTGAGACTTAGGTTAAGTAACTTGCTTAAGGTATAAGGGTTTAGACTTGAATTCACATTGGATTTCAAAATTTATTTAATCACTGTTTATATTATATTGCCTTCCTGAGAACTGCATTTTTTTTTAGGGGGGACAACTACAGAAGTGGCAGCCTAGTGGATAAGAAGTTTCACTGCCAACCCAAAGGCAGGTGATTTAATCCATGAGATGCTCTGCACGAGAAAGATAGACAATTTCCTTTTGTGCAATGCAGACCCTCTGAAAACCCACCAGAGGGTCAGCTGCATCAGTTCCAACTCAATGGCCATTAGAAGACAGAAACAAATACCAAGTATAAAGACCCTGAACTAAGGTACAACAGCAAAGATGTCAGTATGACTAGAGAAAAAGAAATAAGGCTAAGAATACCAAGGTGAGGTAGGTGAACTACAATGTCAGCCAGGGTCAAAGAAAGTAGGGAATCATGAATGTGGAAAAATATGATATGGGAAGTCACTTGCAAATTCTGAGGAAAGGAGTAATAGATTGATTTATTATAGTTTAAAACAATCTCTTTGGCTGCTAAAAACCAATTAGGAGATGATTAGAATAATCTAAGTGAAAACTTTGAGTGGTCAGGCTCTCGCTATTCCATCCTCCCAACAAAATTTATTTTTGTTTAATTTATTTTTTATTATTATTTTTTGTGCATGTACTGTCAAATCAGATCTGACTGGTACAGGAGGAAATTGTCCCTCCTTCTCTGGCAGAGCATCTGGTGGATTCGAACCGTGTACCTCTGGGACTGCAGTACAGCTTCTTGCCACTAGGACACCAGAGCTCCCCTAAAAACAAAATTTATTTTTAAAATTTTATATTGGTTTGCTATCTGGATATTTTATATGTAGAGTCTGTAGGATTTGCTGATGGACTAAATATGGGAGGAGAGAGAAAGGAGTCAAAGATAACATCAAAGCCTTTGAATAATGCTGAAAATTAACTAAATACATCTATAAAACCACACTGCATCAAGAATGCAGAAATTTCAGAACTAGAAAGATTCTTTGACATTTATTAGTTTAACATCTTCCTGTTACCATTGTGAGGACCAATCAAAATTGCACACTAGTATTAGAATCCAGGTTTCCTCAATTTCCATTCAGTTCAAATTCCATTATACTGTAAGAGCTTCTCGTTCTGTACCTCTAAAATGAAACAACAGTTATACCCAGACTCCCCTCCACGCTCCTCCAACAGCAAAGTTTACCCTTTATCTCCTTTTCCTAATCATCTACTCACCGCCTGGTGAGGTCTGAAGGATGCTGCCATGAGTTCTGCACATGATGTACTTGGTCCATCAAGGCATACAGCTCCCCCAAGGCACCTGTGAGACAGAAAAATCAGTAACTAAGGAGTAGCTCAGTCAACTATAACAATTTCAAAGAAACAGATACTGTCCAATTATTATCACAGCGGTCAGCACTAAAACTACAAACCAGGGGAGGCGCTTGCTCAGGGAGGTATGCTAAGCATAGTCTTTGATCATTAGTATTCAGTGTCTCAAATCTAGAGATGGTTTTTAAATTCAGTTGGGATAGACTCAAGGTGGCATTTTGGTTTTTGTGGATTTGTTTTATTTACTTCAATTCAAGCTTGCACATGAGTAACTGACTGTCTGTTCCACAGCCATTGGCCTGGTTTTGATTGTGAGCTTTTCTGTCCACTCTATTCACAGATGTAGTCAATTTGATTCCTATACAGTCTACCAGGTGAGGTTAATGTGTATAGTTAGTTTACGTTTTTCTTAAAAAAGACATCTGAAACGAATAAATCATTGAACAAAATTCTATTATTTGATCTTCAGACTCAATTATTTCACCAGGTCTGTATTTTCCAACTACCAATCCTTTGTTATTTCCAACTTCTGCATTCTAGTCACCTATTATTATTATTAATGAAACTTGGTTTCATGTTAGATCAATTTCAGCCTACAAAAGTTGGTAGTATTAGATTTCTTCAACTTTTACTTTAGGGCTTGGTGTGTA